GGACTTTTTCTACTGTTAGCTGAGAGGACTTTTTTAAAACTGCTGCAGGAATGAACAATAATCTATATCTTTTTAAACAAGACATCTTATAGAAATGTTTTTAACTCTCATAAATATACCCAACACGTCTTGAACATTGTTCTAAGACTTTTATGTTAATACCAGCTGTCTTGTTAACTGATATTTGGCCACAAGCCAGTATAAGCTTCCCACTTAGTTGACATGAACTGTTTCTGAAACCAGCCAACGAGGCCTCAATTTTTGTACCTGCGAGAGAACAGTAGACTAACGAAAATGATCTGATTGGTTGCTATGCACTGCTGCTAGGGGATACATCAAGTTAATGTCATTGCATGAGCTAGTGAGTTAACTCATTCTTGCATCAGCACCACCAATAAGGATGCATTACAAAGCATTTTTAACAAGCGTCCTTATCCTCCCTCATAAATTTTATCTAATGGTTTTGTAAACTCAGGACACCCCTAGCTTCTTCACCTAATTTTAATGTAGTCATTTAAAGTACATTGGCCAAGATTTTAAGAAAGGAACCTTAGATGTTAACCACATTAGTGTCTGCCTGCCTCATCGGTTATTCAGTCAATCATTGCCATTGATCTTTATTCGTGCTTGTAGTTTTTTATTAATGGATAGTAAAAATAACAGTGGGTTTAATTAAATATATAAAATATAATATAAAATAGAAATAACTGTTCCACAGCAAATTTTGTTTGGCCTTCTAAACTTTGTCTTGAAGACAACCCTACTTAATAGACCAGCATCATTTTATGATGATTGCAACTGCATCCCATACAGGGGTGGACTGACCATTTGGAAACTCGGGCCCTGCCCGAGGGCCCGGGGTCAGTAGGGGGCTCCATGAGATGCCCCTGGTACCTTTTTCATAGGCTTTTTTGAGTTTGGACAAGGACACAGGGGCCCCATGATCCCCTATTGCCCGGGGGCCCCATGAGTTGCCAGTCCGCCCCTGATCCCATTATGTGTTTATGTTGTTTGCCATTCTAAAACAAGAAAATTAGGGTGCCCAAGTTGATTCCAAAGCCTCCCAATAAAATGTATATAGCTGTTGGTTTTATCATTTCTAGAAATTGTTCTCTTTTAGAGAGTTAACCTTTCAAACACTTTTGGGTCCTTATTACTGGGCCCTGTCTTAGCTGAATAAGCATCTTTTACCGTAAGCGACCCCTGTTGCACGCAAGGCAAACAGTTTTTATTTGGCTAAACAGCACTAAGCTCCATTATAGGTTTAAAAAAAAAAATTAAAAAAAAATGTAGGAAAATGTATCACTGAAAACACTGGCAACCTTTTTTTTTATTTATCATCATGTATTGTCAATAACTAGGGTGCAGGGGTGGACTGATCATTTGGAAACTGGGGCACTGCCCGAGGACCCAGGGTCAGTAGGGGGCCCCATGAGATGCCCCTGGTACCTTTTTCATAGGCTTTTTTGAGTTTGGGAGAGGACACAGGGGCCCCATGATCCCCTATTGCCCGGGGGCCCCATGAGTTGTCAGTCCGCCCCTGCTAGGGTGGAGTCAGTTTTAAAAATCTAGTGCAAAGAAAGGTGTGGGTGTGGCTCATGGCAACCAATCAAATTAGCAGCTTTTTTGACCGCAGACTACAAAACAATAACAAACACTGGTTGTGCCGCCAAAGCAACACATATTGTATCTTTTCTACATTTATAAATAAACTAATTTGTATTAATGAATAGCTAAATAGTACACAATTTAGAATCTGTTTACCCAGACTTTTACAAATAAAAATGAAATAACAGTCATTAAGAAAAAAAAGAAAAGAAAGCAAAAAAGAAAGACAAATACCAGTCCACAGCTGTACAAATGAAAACAGTGCATTCAGTAAATTAGTTATTAATTGCATCATTGCTAAACACCTCTGCAATGGCATAAAATAATAATAATAATATTTACTATTATTATCAATTGCAAAAGTGTGCCAACTCCAGAACGGGTACGGTTGGTAATCTAGTAACGAAAAAAAAAATGTGGTGGGTTACATTTACCATAGGTAACACAATACATTTCTTTTTAGTAGTTTAACTTATTTTACTTTTATTATTTAAAATGTGAATTAATTTTTGTAACTTATTTAGAGAAAAATCATTTGTTTTTCTAAACAGAAAACTTGGATAAACTGATGTAAAGATTTAGCAGGATATGATCTATTAAAGATGAACAGCTATGCACAAAGAGCCACATTTTAATAATTCATTGAACACCAATATTATTTGCAGTACCTTACAAAGGACGTTGAAAATTTTCAATCTGTCCCTGCCCTGGTGAATTTTGCTGTTTAATGTACCCACACCAATAATTGATATGTATTATTATTATACAGGTTTTATATAGCGCCAACAGTTTGCTCAGCGCTTTACAATATAACGGGAGACAATACAGCAACAATACAGTTCAATACAAGAGGGTTAGGAGGGCCCTGCTCCTGGGAGCTTACAATCTAAGAGGGAGGGGCTAGTGGTACAAAAGGTAGTAACTGTGGGGGATGGACTGGTAGGAGGAGTAGAAGATTCCATTATTAGCTGAGGGCAGGATAGAGATAGGTTTTCAGAGATCGCCTAAAAGTGAGCAGAGCAGGCAATAGTCTGATAAATTGGGGTAGAGAGTTCCAGAGGATGGGGGAAGCTCTGGAGAAGTCCTGGAGAGGAGCATGGGAGGAAGAGACAATACAGCTAGAGAGCAGGAGGTCGTGCGAGGAGCGGAGAGTACAGTTTGGGTGATATTTGTAGACAAGATTGGTGATATATGCACAATATATTTTCTAGTCCAGTTTGCTCCAAAACCAACTAGCCTTCCCATATGTTTTCAGAAAGCCACAAAAATGTAGGAAGGACATGCAAGCTTTGTGTAGTTTCCTTGGAGGCAACTGGGCAAGGAACCCAGTGCTGCAAAACACCATAGTTAGACACTTGGCATATATTCAGAAAAATTCAGTTCAATAACTGGATTGAGTTTTAGGCTTGAATAAAATTTATGAGAACAGTATTGGTTCAGACATGGTAACACCGGATCACAATAGGGATTGCGCATGGAAAGCCTAATTCCCATCAGTACAGCTAGCAATTCCTAGGTCCTTGAAAAACCATTGGCTAAAGGTTGGTCATTTTTGGTAAAGTCTACTACAAGCATGCGGTGAATGAACCCTTTGTAACAATCAGCTGAATTCTAAAATGCTTGAAGATGAAAATTGCGAAACGATATGGTGTGAAACCAGTTTGAAGGGCGATATAGAACATAGAATCTGTGGGAAGATCTATAAATTAATAATAAATAAGATGGCCAGCTGGTCATTGGCTGCTTTTCTGGGTGCATAAAGAGTCATTTCAAGGATATCTGCTGTCTACATTCACTCTTAGTTTGCCTGATTACGGCATCTTCATGAAATACATGGTTTTCCCACGCTTCAAGAAAATCCAGGCCTCGCTAACATTGGCCGTACTTATAACTCGGACAATGTAACATTCGCCAGCAGTGATGACTTGGAAAAATTGGCCATTTTCAAATGGCAAAAAAAAAATATGCTCACAGTTGCTTCTGTTTGGTAAACAGCCTTTTAGCCTTCTATGCCTTCCCCGGGAAACCACAAACTATTATAATTACCAGGAAAAGTGGCAGATGGTTGATAAATGTGGCTGTGATTGTTCTTTAATGAAAGTGCCCTTGTTTTTTTTTAACAAAGCATTGTGAAAAAAAACAACAACAACGTGCACAATTCTGTAAGTCATAGCAACCATAGGTTTTCACCTTCAATTGCTTAGTTGCTAGGCATTCCACTTCAGATGTCATTATGGCTCTTTGCCCCTGCTCCTTCCAGTAATGGTAGGCTCCACGCTGATTAAATAAGGAAGCGTAAAGAGCAGTCGGAACAATGGCTGCTAATGGGTCACTATGGGTTATGGCACATCATACTGCACTTGGCTTTATCAGGCGTGATTTGTTGCTGTTGATACTGTATATTGGAACTGTCCAGGTCTGCAGTGCTGATCTGAATCATTTAGCTCTTTGATGTGTTGCATGGAGACAATGGCCAACCCAAGCCACCAAACACCATAGGCTTTGACTTTGCATGGAGACAATGGCCAACCCAAGCCACCAAACACCCTAGGCTTTGACTGTACCTACTCTCTGACAATGTTAGTGACTAAGGCACATATCCGATGCTGTTATTAACAAGGAACTGTTGGGAACCCAGTTAAAAATGAAGAATTGCATCAGACTGAAGAGCTGGAGACCCCTAACCAGCGGCAGCTAGTTAATATGCAAGCTGTAAACCAGCTGTCATTATCCATCGATAGGAGATGCTCATAGATGCATATTATACGCTACGGCTGCTACAGCTGAGATGTGTCGCCTGCTGCAGTGTGAAGCTGGCACGCGATTGGCTAGTGGGGGAAAGATGTAACCTGGGCGTCGAGGGTTAAATGCATCAGAGTCCTTCCCTCCCCTCTCCTCCCGTACTATTACATTTTAGGTGCTGCATAGTGGAGATCTTTTTGCCAGCATCAAATCCTCCTCCACCCCCTCCTCTTCCTTCTCCTACTTGGCATCTGGGGATGCAGAGAGCAAGGTGGGTGGGGTCCTCCCTTTTAGAGATGCTCACCGTATTCCTTCTGACTATGGCCACCCGTCTCCGACTGCAGAATAAAATGATAATTGCCAAGGAAGAGGCATGAAAGGACAAGTTCCGTCAGAAGACTCACCTGATCCATCCCTACCGTATCTATGCAAGCGACTTAATAGGAGAAGAGAAAATTGCTTGCACTTGCAAGGGAGCCACTGTACAAATTTTTCCTCTAACAGGAAAGAAATTGCTGTTTACATTTGCTAACCGACCATTGCTGCATTTTTTTTCTTTGCAAGAAGGTGCAGCTGAAAAAAAAAAAAAAAAAAAAACTCAGCGTGCCACACCTGGAAGCCGGCTTAGGCTCAGCTCAAGGTTGCCGAAGATGGCCTGGCCTTGCGTGACCAGGGCATGTTGCATCGCTCGTTTTGGCAATAAGCAAGACAAGGGGGACATTGCCGTCCCTTTAATGTTCTCGAAATATTCGGAGGTAACAGACGGTTCTCAGTCGCTACCACGCCCTGGGTCTGCTGCCATAGAAACCCAGCCGTACTATGGGGGCCAGTCTAGGTTATCGAAAGAGTTGTCTTCGAGGGGCTCCGTCATGAGGCAGGACTACAAGCCCTGGAAATCCACCCCTGAGCCAAGCTGCAAACCTCGAAGCGAATACCAGCCTTCCGAAGCTCCTTTGGAAAGGGAGACCCAATACAAGAAAGATTATCGATCCTGGCCGATCCCTCGCCAAGGTGACCATCCTTGGATCCCCAAGCCCATCCCTCCTAGCCCCTCAATGCATATCCATCCTATCATTCCAGAAAAAAAGAAGACGGATGCCATGGGCTCTATTTTGCCACCCTTGGAGAAAAGGATCAATGATCCTGACCCTAGGGAGAGTGCCGAGCACAGGTTGCTGAAAGGAAGGGTGGCGATTGCATACAACGTGACCCCGGAGATTTTGGTATCTGTAGTGGAGGAAAGCAAAGTCATCCAACATCTGGAGCTGATGGCCAAACCACCTGCCAAGGAGACAAGTCAAGGGGGAGAAGACATTGGAACGAGATCTTCATACAGGTTAAGTTCAGTTTTAACTCTTTCCAGTTCATATGACCAAATTGAGGGATTTGCAGATGTAGTGTAACAACAGGTGATTACTAGCAAGCAAAGAGAAAAACCACCAACAGGTAGCTAAATGTGAACAAACATTCCACAAGGAATGCAAGAGAAATTGTGTAGTAGATTGTAGACCCACTGGGGTAGATTTTCTGAAACTGGAGCACTCAGAATCTGGTGCAGCTGTGCATGGTAGCCAATCAGCTTCTAATTTTCCCTTGTTCAATTAAGCTTTGGCAATAAAACCTGGAAGCTGATTGGTTTCTTTGCAGAGTTGCACCTGATTTTTCTATGTCCCGCTTTAGTAAATACCCCCTACTTTGCCTTGCAGGGGTTAAACATTAACTAAAAGCATTTGCAAACATTGAAAGCATGCTTATCACACATTGATATTTGCCAGCATGCTGAAAATTCTCTGGACAAGCCTTTAACTTTTATCCACATCAAAAATTAAGTAGGCATTTGCTTCATGACCTTCATGTCTGTTTAAGAGTATAATGGCAATATCTATTTATTATTAATGTACAGTTGCTCCCTGCAGCTCAGAAATGAGCTGTTACCAGTTTTACGGTAATCAGACCAATAAAAAGGTTATTTATGATTGGTTGCAAAAGCTTCCTGCACTTTGCCTGTTGCTCCTGGCCTCAGGATAGATACAATGGGAATTTCAGTCTTGGCTTCAATTTTCAGCTGTGGACATAGTTGCATCTAGTTGCATTTTCTGTATAGTCTTTTTAGATTAGGTTTTACCTTTTAATTACATATTAGATGTTCATTCACTATCAGGGGCGGACTGACCATTCGAGCACTCGGGCACTGCCCGAGGGCCCGGGGTCAGTAGGGTGCCCCATGAAATGCCCCTGGTACTTTTTATAGGCTTTTTTGGGTGTGCTTTGAGTGTGGGCAAGGACACAGGGGCCCCATTATCCCCTATTGCCCAGGGGCCCCATGAGTTGTCAGTCCGCCCCTGCTCCACTGTCACCATTTTTCTCGTGGTGTCAGAAAAACTTGTTAGAAGTGTTTTCATTCTGATAGCAGAGAAATGAAGCAGCAGACGGAAATGACACTTAGAGCTCTGGATTGAGACAAGGACACAGTATAGAGGGATATGCTTTGTTCAGATTTCTTGTCACAGATTTACAGCCACTTTAATGAGAGTATGGAGAAGAGGGACAACAAAGTAGTATACTTTCTGTATTTCTTTCTACAATGTTAATAATGACATTTTTCCGAGTTGCTGTTGGTGGAAATAGGTTGACCTATATTCAGTGAGCGCTTCCAATATGGGACCAAATGGCCCATTCAGACTGCTGAGCTTTGTTGCAGTGCTTTGTGTTAACATTAATTTAGAATCCATTCGTTTAGAATTTTTGAATTTTGCATTTTTCTAATGTAACACACAACAACGTATAGATGGCTTACACATGTGCATTGTGGTGCTCTAAAACACGTGCATCTTGAAGTGCGTCAGCATAGTGAGTTGGAACCACAACACACCAATGTGAATCTGGCCTTAAATAAATCAGTAGTCTTTTATTTAAAAAAAAAATGTGTTTTAGATATACTATACATGTGAATGTGACCTGATTAATAAAAACAAAATATCAATAATGATTACAAATGATTTCTATATGATTGTAACCAAATACGTGCGTTGGGGTGGTTGTATTTTGTTTATTAGTATCCGCTTTGCTTAGTAGTTACCCAGTATGATCTTCACTGTTTCCGTATATTCAAGTCAATCAGTCTGCTCAGATTGACTGAAAACCATAGAATCTTCATGTGGTATAAGCAGGCCATACACAGAGCATTTTTAGGAACTTTCCACACACTTTCATCCATTTTTTTTATGATCGATGAAGGCAACCTTCCATTCATAAAATGTGATTGACCAGCAAACTTGGATTAACTTGATGGATCAAAATATGTTTAATGCAGGGAAAGAATAATTGTGATCAAATAGACTGGAAATGGTAAGAAGTAAACTGATAGAAAACGGTCAGATTTTCCAGATCTTTTGATCAGGGTTTCTTACACGTGAATGCCCAAAAGTTGATTAAAACCTGTAAACTATTATTTTAATTTTTGTTTAGTTGCGAAAAATTTAAAAAATTCAGGTTGAAGGATAAGATTTTCACCTATATTAGTTGTTTTGGGGTCCATTAACTCCCCCCCCGGTACAAGACTTGGGGCAAAGGATAAACTGTTACCTTGTAGCCAAATGGCACTTCTAACCACTGCTGGATCAAGTTCATCTAGTGCCCTGGGCAAGGATGTAGGACTGTGCTCTTCTAGATCTGCTCCAAATGCATGCCATGGAATACAGTTGTGTCCAAAATTATTCAACCCCCACTGAAATTGAGTGTTTTGGCCAGTTTGACATTGCTTTTGATCATTCAGTCATCTTGCTTACTTTACATTAAAGAGGCACTTGTAGGTCAGACAAATATAACATAACAGTTATAATGAAATAACCACAAATGTCTTTTCTGTGCTCACAGCATTATCAGTTTTATTCACCCCCAAGTGACATTCAATCTTAGTACTTAGTACAGCATCCTTTTACAGTTATAACAGCTTTTTTAAACGTGAAGCATAGCTTGACACAAGTGTCTTGCAGCGATCTACGGGTATCTTCGCCCATTCTTCATGGGCAAAGGCCTCCAGTTCAGTCACATTCTTAGGCTTGCGCACTGCAACTGCTTTCTTTAAGTCCCACCAGAGGTTCTCAATCGGATTTAAGTCTGGTGACTGCGATGGCCACTCCAAAATGTTCCAGCCTTTCCTCTGCAACCATGCTCTAGTGGACTTGGAGGTATGCTTGGGATCATTGTCCTGTTGAAAGGTCCAACGTCTCCCAAGCCTCAGGGTGTGTGACGGACTGCATCACGTTTCCATCCAATATCTCCTGGTACTGAAGAGAATTCATGGTACCTTGCACACGCTGAAGCTTCCCTGTACCTGCAGAAGCAAAACAGCCCCAAAGCATGATTGACCCTCCACCATGCTTCACAGTAGGCAAGGTGTTCTTTTCATCATAGGCCTTGTTCTTCCTCCTCCAAACATAGCGTTGATCCATGGGCCCAAACAGTTCTAATTTTGTTTCATCAGTCCACAGAACACTATCCCACAACTTTTGTGGTTGTCCACATGGCTTTTGGCATACTGCAGTCGACTCTTCTTATTCTTTGGAGACAGCAAGGGGGTACGCCTGGGAGTTCTGGCACGGAGGCCTTCATTACGCAGTGTGCGTCTTATTGTCTGGGCTGAAACTTCTGTACCCACATCTGACAAATCTTTTCTCAGTTCCTCAGCAGTCACACGGGGACTTCTCTCCACTCTACGCTTCAGGTAGCGCACAGCAGTCGAAGTCAGCATCTTCTTTCTGCCACGACCAGGTAGCGTTTCAACAGTGCCCTTTGCCTTGAATTTGCGAATGATGCTTCCTAAGGTGTCTCTTGGTATGTTTAACATCTTTGCAATCTTCTTATAGCCATTGCCCTTCCTGTGAAGAGAAATCACCTCTTCTCTTGTCTTCCTGGACCATTCTCTTGCCTTCACCATGTTTGTAACCACACCAGTAAATGTCTAGAAGGAGCTGAGTATCACAGTCATTTTAAAGCTGCCTAATTGGTGCTTATTATGCTTGATTGCTGCTCGGTGACATCCACAGGTGTTTTCAATACCTGATGGAAAGCACCTGTATGAACCTCTGTTCTTCAGAGTGGTAGTCTTTAAGGGGTTGAATAATTGTGGCAATGAAGAAACCACATAAGAACCATTTACTACTGTATTACATAAACAATTGATGTCATTTTAGTTGCATTTGGGTAGTTACAACGTCCTTGTAGGATTTGATTCTGAATACAATTCCAAATGTACACTATAGTCCCTAAACCCCTTTACAGCATTGGGGGTTGAATAATTTTGGACACAACTGTAGGTGTACTGCCCTGAGCCCATTCTCTGCCTCTTGCACCGGCTGTCTATAGTTGGGCGTGGACTGTGCACTGCACATGCATGGTCATTTGGTTGATTTTTACAGCAGTATTTGTCAAAGCAGCCCTGTTTACTAGCCACTGATCTGGAGTTTGTGTGCAGTGAGAGGACCCCCCACTGCTGCTCCCTGGGCGGCAGCCCCCCCTGCTCGACCCTTGTCCCAGCCCTGCTTCAAACCATGTGATCCTGTTGGTAAATTTCTGCATTACTTGGTCAGTTGTTCTTCTTTTTCTCCTTAATATGGTGCTAAACATAGGTGTGCGCACAGGGTGTGCCAGATGTGACTCAGCACACCCTAATCACCCCATGTGTTGCAGATTCTCCCTGCTACCCCCCCTCTGCTGTTTACTATGTTTCAGTTTGTGATTGAATAGGAAGCCGCTCAGCACAACGCACTTCCCATTCATTCACTGCCCAGTGCAGATGAGGCTGCAGAGAAAATGGACTGGGGAAAATCTGTCCTTGGTTCCTTTCTCTGTCTCAGAAGTGAGACATCAGTGGTCTGTTTAGACCCACTCATATTTTCACCAAACCCCTCCCAACGGGGCTCCTAAAAAAATTGTAAAATAAATAAATAATAATATTTAAAAAAATACTTAAAAAAATAATATAAAAAAAACTACTGACACCATTCTAGGCCCTACTGACAAAGTCCACTGCTCTACTGACATGTCCACTGCTCTACTGACACCATCCACTGCTCTACTGACACCATCCACTGCTCTACTGACTCCATTCACTGCTCTTCTGACATGTCCACTGCTCTACTGACTCCATTCACTGCTCTATTGACACCATCCACTGCTCTACTGACATATAAATTGCTCTATTGACACCATCCATTGCTCTACTGACACCATCCACTGCTCTAATGACACCATCCACTGCTCTACTGACACGTCCACCGCTCTACTGACACCATCCATTGCTCTATTGACACCATCCACTGCTCTACTGACATATAAATTGCTCTATAGACACCATCCATTGCTCTAATGACACCATCCACTGCTCTACTGACACGTCCAC